TACCATATGATCGGCTAATTTAACTATTGATAGTACTATTTCAGTGAAACGGGTTATCAACAAAATATTATTTTGAAGTATTGCTTATCCAAGATTACGATTTACTCACGGTTATAATATTTCGACCACTGATTCTTGCTATTATCGGATATATATATATGAATAGTTATAATATTTATTTATACCGTATCTCGATTATAATAACCTATTACCGAATGATGACATTTTCTATTTAACAGTTTTACCATCGGGTATGTTAGTTATAAGTATTATTTATTTCAAGTTGTTAAATAAAGTACGAAGTATTATACGGCCCGTAAATTGTTCTACTTACAAATATAAATTTCGCCATATAATTTGTACCACGTATTTATGTATTTTCTTGTCATAAGCGACCTAAGGGCCGGGATATCGGCTTGGACGCTCGGGATCGGTTTTGATTTGAAACAGATATGTTTGATATAACCACTTGAAATATTTAATCGGTTAATTACCACCAAGTCGGATGAACTGTTGGGTAATAAGATAATTATGGAGATACTAAAATGAACAGATACGCCGTATAATAATTCTTAAACCGGTATCATGCATAATCATTTTATTGTGCACCATAAGTGATTATCGTGTTCCTACATGTACATATAGGGTATCGGGATTTGACCGGATAACAGTTTCAGAGACATACCAGTTGAGGATGGATAAACCTTGATATGTGCCCGTAATACTGTGTATGCTTTGTTGTTTGACTGAACCGTTGAAATGATTCTTGTTAGTTATTTGATTGCCATGAATGTTGTTGCTGTTGTTGGGCTGTGTGGATTGATCATGTGGATACTGTGAATAATTGTTGTACTGTTAATTGTGTGTAATTAGTGATATGAAATTGCGGATTGGTTGAGCTTGAGAAATAATCTGTGATGCTTATGACTGCCGTGATGTTGTTGTTGTTGATGTTAGACTGTGCTATTGGATTTGTGATATTTTATAGAGGATAATGATGTACTGGTCAATGTGGATAATTGGGAAAAGAATAATGAGTATTGGAAATGGAACTGAAACTGAAAGTGAGATGATGACATAATTGTCACTTGGAAAGTAGTGGTACGACTAGATGGTTAGAGACTAGTTCTGTGGTGTCTTGCCAGAGGGTTTGTTGGTTGGGGTGTTGACCCCGGATTTGTGATATTGGGATGTTGATCCCGGATTTGTGATATTGGGATGTTGATCCCGGATTTGAGATATGGGGATGTTGATCCCGGATTGTGGTGGGGCCTGACATCCAGAATTAGTTAATAACCAGGTACGACCCTAGCTTGTCCAGTGACGGGGCCCGGAAGATAAAATTGGAAATAAAAATTAATAAGTAATCTTTTGGTCTTGGCTTTGATGTGATTTAGTGAGATTCCTTTGACGTGTTGGTTGTGTTAGATTCCTTGATGCGTTGTTTGATTTAGATTCCTTTGTCGTGTTGTGTGTGTAGTTTCATCTGTTTGATGGTTATTTTACTTCGAAAGTATTATGGTTGAATATATCACTGTTTATCTTTCGTCGGTGAGCGCTTCGGACTCAACCCTCGCCTGCGGGGTTTCATCCCGTAGGATGAGTTGTTTGTAGTGCAGGAACGTACCGGGCAAGCTGAAACGTACCCTCGGACAGGACTCGGATCCATTAGTTGCATTGGGCCTTGCATATGTTGTCTTGTGAGTCGTAAGTCTTCCGTTGTGCATATTGTTGGGTTTTCTGCTGTGCTTACGTTGTAATTGGGCCATTAGGCCGGATGGTTGTTGTTGTTGGTGTCCCCGGGGTTCGGGTGACGAGTTCCTTGTCGGGCCGAAGGGCCGGATTTCAGTTTTATTATTGGGCCGTTGGCCAGTTTATTGTTTTATTCACTGTTTGTTGGGCTTTATTGGGTTGGGTTGTCACAGTTCTGGCACGTGTTTACTGTGTACGATAAATACAGGTCGGGGCGTCTCAGATTCAAATATCAATCATAAAGAAAAAGGGTTAAAATAATTATTTATTTATTTATTAATTGATCAAAAAAATTATATTTTAAAAAATAGAAATTTTTAAGGTTAAAAAAAGAAATACATACCTTGAGTTTGTCGATGTGATTGGTATTAAAGTTTTGGATAAAAATTTGATTGATATTTTTTGACAACTACCAAAAATATTTGTGAGTTTAATATTTTTATTCCTGAAAAATATCTATTACAAAATAACAGGAATTCTTAAACAGGGTTAAAAAAGATACATACCTTTATCTAATTGGTACTAAAATTTTACTGTAAAAACTGTTTGGTATTTTGGACAACAACAAAAAAAATAATTGTGAGTTTATTATTTTAATTCCTGAAAGACAAAAAAAAAATAATCTCCTTCGAAAAATAATTATTTTTTTACTATCTATTCACAACTATATATTTGCTTGATAAGCTTAAATCTTAATATGTATTCCTAAAATTTAAAAATAAAAATAAAAAACGCCCCTTGGTGATGATAATAAAGGAGACTTGCAAATCTAATTAGGTTTTTTGTTTGTTACTAATCTGCGATTGATGAGGCTGAAGCATACAAATAAATCTTAATTTGTATTCCTGAAATTTAATAATAAAAAAACGATACATACCTTGCACTGGCCGCCACTGCACAACAACAATCTCCACAACAATCTTATATCCTTAGGAAGAATAAGTAGTGCGTGAATGATAAGACAAATTAGGGTATAGGCAGTTAGAGAGATAAGAAACGATTTTTTCTCTCAGTTAGAGAGATAAGAAACGATTTTTTCTCTCCTCTCTTTTTCTCTCAGAGAAAAAAAACCATAGATCTATATATTGGGGCTGTCACCCCACTTGTTTTTTTTGTTTTGTTGTTTTATTCTCACTTTCTGTGGGTTTAGTCTCATCTTTTGTGAGTTTTGTCTCACTTTTTGTGAATTTAGTTCTACTTTTTGTGGATGTGTTTTCTCCGTCAGTGTTTTGGTGATTCAAATAAAACTATGGGAGCCAAAAGCCATGGAGAAAGATTCAACCTCAAGAACAATTCTTTGTCTACTGCATTCGCCAACAAAGAGATATTTCACCCCACAGGTATGCATCGCCTTCACCTGTTGGCTTGGTAGAAGGAGACTTTGTCTTTGGGTGATCAACTTGTTGTGCCAGGAAGATTGGGAAATACATGAAGAATGCTTTGTGTGTTTCTTTGTAGTATATTGAGAAGAATTCTTAAGTTAAATTTTTCTCATGTTTTTGTTTTATTAGATCTTCAATTATGTATCTCAAATCTTTTGATCTCTTTATATTAATAAAGAATGCTCCTTTATCAAAAGGGTATAAGAATAATTTAGGTACATTTGATGGGGTATAAATATAGGAATAGTTAATGTAGACTTTAATTTTTTATATATATATGTAGATTTTAAATTTTAACTATTTATAATTCATTAATAATATATAATACCAATCAAGGATGGTATTTTTATAATTTCGCCTATTTCGCTGTTTTGGTGCTTTTATATATAGTATAGATATAGATATATAGATAAATAGTTTCCCAGTCAACGTTATTTTTTTTTCATCAGAAATTTCAGTTATCTTGTATTATGCCGCGCATATACATTAGTAATATCATATCCTTTCTTATTCCTGGAAAATAATATTTCCTTATTTTTCATATTTTCTAAATCCTGAATTATTTATGATATTATCTGTCGGTGTGCCGGTTTACTATACATATCACTATAAAATCTGTTCTCTCCTCCTACATATATCAAGCTTCTGTGTAAAGTTCTTTAACATCCATGTAAATTTCCAGTGGTGGACTTTTTCTCTCTCTCTCTCTCTTTCATGCCATATGTATCAATTCTTCCTTTCTTCTTTTCTTCATTTAATTTAAAGAATTTTAATTCTGTATCTATCTATAATATTTTCTTTTATCGTCAAGCTGGTGATGCAATTAATCTGTAAAAGCTAGTAATCATTGCTCTAACAATTATTTTTCTTTGTTGAACGAACAATGTTCTGTTTGACTTATTAGGTATATTTCCATGGTTTTGAAATCAATAAAAAAATAAGAAAATCTAGTAATTAAGTAGTAACTGAATCAAGAGGATCAGAATAAGAGTGAAAACCATAGACTTTCCCTCTCTGATTTTGGTTAATTTTTTTTAAAAAAATCATGGTTAGAATTTAAATAACATGACTTACAACAAAGGGTATAGCATATGATAACATCTAGCGTGATTAATGTTAATATCAATCCCTAATATAGTACCACAAAATGGCTACGATACTCTTCTAATATGTAAAGAATACTCCAGCGTAGAATCTACCAATTATTAAACCGGTTGTGTGGAAAAGTCAATTGGATCAATCAATGATTCATGTGAACTCTGGAAAGTTCATAGACAAGAAATGGACATCAGTTGACAACCTAGCCAGTAGCCACCAAGTTGGAATGCTTTGATTGCCAACCAAAAACGAAGTAGCAGTACAGTAAAACAAATGAACTTGCCAATGTGCAATTGGTCTACCTTTTTTGATTCATAGCTAACATCCATGCTTCAATTTCTCCCATGGATTAGGGTATACACAAGGATTATTAGATCACAAGTTACGACAAGTGATCTCGAAAGCAAAAACTTAAGTGTTATAATGACTTCAATCAAGCAACTTCATCAATAAATTGATAACTTAGTTGTGGTTTCAGACTTTCAGTTGCACATCCACTTCGCAAAAAAACAAAAAAAAAGAAAAAAGGCCCTACTCGCAATTGATGTCGCTATTTGTGAGGCATAGTCATGAATGAATGGTTCCAATCCTATTTCCCATCGACACTGTCACCAAAGAAAAAGGAGAGTACAGACTTAATAATAAAAGTATTATGCAAATCTTTGTTGAAAAACTTTCCTTTTGGGATGAAAAAAGATTGATATGTTATATAATATCGTATTGGGGGAATGAAAGTATGACACATAAAAAATAATGCAAAAAATAAAATGCCTCTGGTGAGATTCGAACTCACGACTGCTCGCTTAAAAGGCGAATACACTACCACTGTGCTACAGAGGCTTACCACTTTAAGCGCTAAATATCTCCTTATATAGTATGAACACTGTAGCTGCCAGCTCAATGTTAGGTTTTTTGGGCCCCATGTTTAGTGGTTTGGCCAATTTGGTACCCCGACATTTCTTTTGACCGGGCATATACCCCGAGATTGCATGGGCAGGCCAAACGTAGACCCTTGGTCAGGCACCTGCTGACGTGGAGGCTGCCCGGGTATTTGCGCGTGTTACTGTAGCGACGTCGTTTTAAGTGAGAAAACGTCAACGTTTCATGCCACGTCGGACACAGGTGGGTTAGTGGGGCCCACTTCACTCAAAGCCCCAAATTCTTCCCATACCGAACCGAAACCGCTCCGGACCAGGGTCTACATTTGGCCTGCCCATGCAATATCGGGGTCTATGCCCGGCCAAAAAAAAAATGTCGGGGCACCAAATTGGCCAAACCACTAAACATGAGGGCCCAAAAAACCCAAAAATCCTTAAAAATTAAAGTATTGGTTTTGAAAAAATAAGGAAAGTAAAATAATAAACTAACTCAATACATCTGGTTCAATAATCGTTCTTTCTAATTTATAATTTAAAATTAAATTTAAGTGAGATTTTATGCCACTATTGTATAATTATTTTAAATTTTTTTCAAAAAAATAATTCTAGCACAAGATAATAATTATAATAATAAATATTTATTTTCTAATTTTTTACATTTGAGATTTGATCTCGTTCTTTATTTATTATTATTATTAAAAAATTTAGGTACTTTTTACAAATTTAGACCGGTGGGAGAGTTTAAATAGGAATTTTTAGAAATTAGTATATGAAAAAAACAAAATTCTAAAAATAATAAATCCAGCATAATAAGGTGTATTTATTTAAAACCAAGTAAAATTTTTGGAAATTAAGTTTTACTCATTTTTAATATTGTTAAAAATAAAATATGATTAAAAGAAAGAAAAATGATTAAATAAATAATCAAAATCGGGTCAGCTTTTATTTCGGTATCCAACAAATTTCGGGTCGGTTAGGTGAAAAACCCGGGGTCGGTAGCATGCGGAGTCCACAAAGACACATGGATCTTACATGTCTAGCCAATCCTCTAAAACGACGTCGTTTTGCTACAGTAACACTCGCAAATACCCCGGGCTGCCTCCACGTCAGCAGATGCCTGACCAGGGGTCTACGTTTGTCCTGCTCATGCAATCTCGAGGTATATGCCCGGCCAAAAAAATATCGGGGTACCAAATTGGCCAAACCACTAAACATGGGGGCCAAAAAACCCAAAAACCCCTCAATGTTACATACCAAATATGTATAGAATGTTATAAATATACATGTTTAAGCAGAGAAAATTTGATTGGTAATGGAGGAGAGGGAGAGGAAGGAAAAGGAAGAAGAAGAAGAAGTGAGCAGCCAAAGAGGAGCTCGGCTCCGTCGTCTTTTATTTCTTTACTGATAAGCATATATATAATATAAGATTAGGTACAACAGTTTCACACGTTTTATAACACTCCCCCTTGAATACTGTTGTACTTTGGGTAGAATACGCTTTCTGGGACAACTGCCTCATTAAAAACCTTACCAAGAAAAACCCGGTGGGATAAAAACTTGGTGAAGGGAAAAAGAGTGCAGTGTGTATTCTACTCCCCCTCATTTTGGTCTCCCTTGGTATCACGATGTGGTTGTATGCCAATCATTCTTGTCAACTTCTGGTGACGTGTGCTTTGTCCGATCACTTTTGATACATCACTACTTTAATTGGACAATATAGGCAGCATTATCTTTATAATTTGTTGTTGGAGCATCTTTCTTGATGTCTTGCTTTTGTAGTCCCGATGATATAGCAATTTCATGTGTAAAGTCATAGCAGATGTCCGTCTGTGCTTTTGTGGATCAAATAAAGGACCTGCATCTGCAAAGACCAATTATATTCTCCTAAGGTTTACAAGGTTAACATAATACCACATCTGTTATACCCCGAAGATAGGAGCAAAGTTATATCTTGTCAATAGGCTTAAGTCAAAAGCTTCAGGCTTTATGTTACTAACAATATAAATTGCACTTTGACAGGGTTCTCCAGGACCAAACTAATTTTTGATGAGATTTTTCATCTCAAATCCTTTCTTGAAACATTGCATTTGGAGACTTCTTCAGGAGTTCTAATTTAAACACAAAAATATATATAGATATGAATTATCAACATAAGCAATAATAAATTCATGCATACTCAAAATGATTTAAATCATGTAATAATCAATTTAGCTTAATTTTATATATATTCCCGGGAATTAGTTGCTTTAAGCAACTTGAATCCTTCAGGGATTCTCATGCATATGTCATGACTTATGGATCCGTAAAAATAGGCTGTAATTGCATCCATTAGATGCATTTCTAATTCTCTCATATAATGCCAGACTTAAAAAATAATTGCATCCACCATAAGGGAGTATATCTCCTCACAATTAATACCAGGTCGCTTGGGTAAAACCTTGTGCGACATGCTACAAGCCGTGCTTTGTGCGACAAACCGTGCTTTATATTTCATTACTTCCCCCTTTTTCGCACAAACACCTTTTATAATTGACCGGTTTTATACCACTATTGTACGGACTACAGGTCCGAATAAATCCTTGCTTCACAAGCGTGTCTAACACAGCCTTTTAATTATGTCTCTCTATATTTTTGGCCAATCATTTTGCGCCTACATTCATCAATAGATGTATGTTCGTGATCCTCATTTTCTTTCATAATATTTAGCGCTATACACAATAAATACTCCGTCGACGGTTATTTCATGTCGGTTCCATCTTATTCCTGACACTGAATAATTAATCGAGATCTCGTCATTTTCATTTGTATTTGTGTTTCTTCTGGAACCTTACCAATTGTGTCAGAAAACCTCTTCTGGAGGATTTTTAATTTGAACCTCTACTGGAGGCCTTATTTTCTTACTGGGGTCATCTTATCTCTTTACTCCTTTTTCTCTATCGAGAATTTCTTTTCTTTTGGAACCGAGTATATTCTACGCTTATGGCGCACTTCAGATTCATTTGCATATTATAATTGTTCTTCTGGAATATTAATTTGAACCGGAGCATTTGCAGCTGGTATATAAGATTTGGTCACTTTATGTGTCTGGCAATTGCATATCAATTTTTATGCAAATGAATCATCTTTTGAACTTCAGGTTCATACTAATTTGTTTGAGGATCAAAACTAGATATGTATTTCAATAATATCTTGATCCAGCTACTTATTTTCTCCCCCTTATGTTGGGTAAACTCTTTCATCAAATTAATAACCAACATACCCAACATATATTCCCAGTCTTCTTTAAGGACCAATATTACTATACTGTGGTGGAGCATTGTATACATATACTGTATAATCAACGGTCCAAAGATGGGTTCATGACCATGAACCAATAAAATAGGGAGATTTTATGATAACTTGTTGGCTTGATGCACACAAGTGATGCTGCATGTAAAATACCATTTTCTCAAACAGTAACATTTCATTAGCAATGGTCCTGCAATCAATTGGGAATATTCACCCAGATCGGTTTGGGTTGATTTACAATGATATACATTATCCATTGAAGAAATATATACCAGTATCATCTAGACATATAGTCTTATAACATAATTAGGGATGTGTACCCGCAAGTGGCTTAATCATTAAAAACAAGTGCGCACAATGCCAACTTGCGTCTAACAAGCACACAATAGACCATCTAGTCGATGCATCATAAAAATTACCTAGATGGTCAACATGGCAGATTTATTAGTCCGCGCACATGTCCCTGAATTATTCCCAAACTTACTGGTGATTCTAGGCCAACCTCATCTTAGGAAGGCCGAATAATTAATTCCGCAGCAAACAAACACGTGGAAATTCATTGATTGTAAAAACTTCTGGTTTTTCAATGAATAACCAAGTAAATTTTGTGCATCATTATTGATCCGGGATGGCCCAACCGGTCATGCCAAACAATAAATCCATGAACCAACTTCAGGTTGGTGCCATCTTCAGGCTGATATTTATATGCCAGCTTCAGGCTGGATATGATAACTTAAGAAAAATATTTACCAGCTTCTGATTGGTGCATACTAGCTATAAATTACATATTTATCAGCCAACTTCTAGTTGGTCTCAACTTCATGCTGTACAAAATGTGTATTTAAACACTTAAAATTGCTAGCTTCAGGCTAGTACATTCCAGCTTCTGGCTGGATATGGTGACTACTCGAATATTGTGTATTTAATTGCTAGCTTCTGGTTGCTATATATGTGCCAATTTTAGGCTTATTTCTGCCACCATGTCGAAAAAGATCAGAATTATTGGATAATTATTAATGTAGTGACAAACTTTGTCAAAAAAAAATCCTATTGGATCTATCCGGGGGTCCACATTTTGAAAAAACTGACACCTTAGCTGTCTAAGCTCAGGCTATAAGAAGGGAGTGGTAGAAACAAGAAGATTAAAAAAACTCAACAAGACAAGAAAAAAATGCCTTCCCCAGCTACTGTTTTCTTTGTTGAGAGTGCCTCTCTAGGAAGGAGGAATAGGTTAGCTTATAGCATGGTGAATGAGCAGCAAGAAGAATTACCGAATGAGCTGGCGAGAATTCCTCGTTTAGTATTTGTAGATGAGCTTTACTCGTCTAGGTTCTTTGTGACTCCTATGGAAGAAACTTTCTTCCTGGAGGACCAAGGCAACTCAGGACTAATTTTTATGGCTCAGCTAATTCTATAATATTTTTCATATCTGATAAACTGCAGGAATTTCAGCTAGAGCCTTCATGTCAAATTTTGAATCAAAGTAATTATTATCAGGTTTCCATGATGGCTCGGAGTGTCCCAAGGGTGACTGGGTTACCACCTACATGGCCTAAGGTATGACTTTTACTATGGAATTGCAGGGGTGTAGCAAGAAGGTCCCAAGATTTTGTGCGTACCTTAAGGGATCTGAAGAATTAGTACAAGCCCAACATGGTATTGATTACTGAAACT